ATCCGAGAGGCTTTTCACCTAGATGCTAAAGTTACATCCGTGTTGTCTATATTGCGGACTGGTCTCAGTGAAAAGTGGATTATTCAGTTCTGCAATTATTTAATTTTTAATGATGTTGAACTGAGTGATTATGCGAGAACTATCGAGCTTGCCACTATCGAGAATTTGAAGTCTGGCCTGGACAACGAACTGCTGGACAAATTCGAGTTGACATGGTTCTCCTTTCTTCATCCTATGGCGAGGAGTTGGATGACGTACATGACTATTCAGCACAAACAGAATGCATGTAGCGTGATGTCTAAAGTTCTACGCTCCAAGTATAAATCTCAAATCCCGCGATTGATCGAAGAAGGAAAACAAAGCGGATATGCGCCACTTGCGATAAAGTTAGAAGAAGATTTAACTATGACAGATTAGGTACGAATTTCTTCTATTTTTGAAATCAAGCTGTGATTATTAGAAGAATACTAACAGTCAATACAATTATAGCCCGATCTCGTTAGATTGCGTGAGTACCTCCAGCGACATGGAGGCAAGCAAGAATTAATCAAAACTGAGTCTTCATCAAACATGATATTTCTGTGGTCACGACGTCGGAACGAATCATCTTCAGTTGCCTAGTACAGACTAGATATTTGACGCAGACAATACAAACGGATTGAGTGAATATCATATCCATTAAACACATGCTGATTGACATGTTTTCACTCATTTAGATTGCGCCAAACAACGTTGCTCGTGCATTAACGGGCATCACACCACTTACTTCAAATGGTTGGAATAGCGATCGTGCACCGTCGAACAAAGCCGCGAAGATACTTTGGTCTTGATGCAGAAGGTGAAACGGGGTTACACATACCCTGGTAACAGGTGTGTGTGTCACACCAGATAGGCATTGTACACTCAAACAAGAATACGGTACGGGGATGGGTAGCCAGTAGCTGTACATGTAGTTTGACTTTACCATACATTTTTAGTGAAATCTATGCATTTAAAATTAGGCGGCTTTGTCACAGATAAAAATAAATAAAGTCAGTTTTGAATTTAAACCTAAGAATTACTTAGCCTCGAGTTAAGGCTATAATTACTGTTGGAGTAAGCGGATTGTGATCCGCTAAACTCGTACTTGTTCTGAGTAAAATACGAGAGGTCGGTGACCTAACTTACGTTCCTCAAAGCGCAAAGCTACGACAGCCCCGCTGCAATTGGTAGCACTTGTAGTCAATCTACACCTGAGTCGTTACGATTGATCTTCTATGAGAATGGAACAATGTTCCTGTTTGCCCCAAAGCATGCAGCACGGGCTTAACAGCTGATGTCTTTGCTGGCGCCTGATGGCGTGCAACACCTTGCAACGCAAGGTCCCGAGGCAATCGGTGCGCGTCTAGAGGCGTTTCTAAATTACAAAAAACGCGCTACTCGAGAACCTGCAGCAGAAGATGTCTGCTTCATCTGCGTCTATGATGCCACCGCCAGTAACGGATGACTTTCCCCGCCCTAAGCCGCACATGGTGAGCGCTAAGGTCTTTGAGAGGAAGGATGGAGAGAATCTCCTGCAGTGGGTGAGAGATGTCGAGATAGCCATCGCATCCGCCATGCTCTAGACCGAGCAACACCGCGTGGCGCTAGCCATCTCCGAGCTCGGTGTTCGAGTGCGAGAATGGGCACTGCCGTGCGGCACTTCGGTCGAAGCTGCGTTTTCTCCTGGGCGGAGCTGAAATTGCAGCTCCCAAGAGTGTTCTCGCCTCCTCATCAGGCATATCGCGTGCTATCGCGTTTCCTTGCCGCCCGACAGGGCAACAAGGAATTGGTGGAATTTGTCCAGGAGATGCGCACTCTCGTTGCCGGGATGGCAGCAGATCCCCTTCCGGAGGTGGTCACAGTGACCGTATTTATTGAAGGCCTCTGCACTGGCGCGGGCAGAATGGAGGTCTTCCGTGTGCATCTATATCCATTTGAAGAAGCGGTGAATGTGGCATTGACTGCCGATTTTT